TTAATTCTCCAGTTGCAGTTTAAAACCTGAGGAAATGTAAATTCTCCAAGCAACCTCTCCTTCAAACTCCCGAAAGTAAATTTTGTTCCAAAACTAATTCAGGAGGTGTCTCCATAAAGTTGCTAGCCAGCAGTACTTGAGCAAGGACAATCAAAGATAACCTTTCTTTGGGGAATGAATGAGGTCTTCATCTCTAGGTATGCTGGATATCTTCTCATTCCTTCCAGATTCCTCTCCTCTCTCCTGTATTTTATTCTCTATCCTTGGAGACTAACCTGCATGAATTTCATTAATGGGCTCCCTGCACTTTGGCTTCATAATGGATTCAGCCAATAGAGAACTCTGGCAGAAGACTGGGAGGGGAAAGACACCACTTCCCTGGGGTCACCTGGGCCTAGCTGTATCCTTTGATTAAAGGTCACTGCTTCTCTCAAGGCCATCTCACCTTCCAGCTCCTAGTAACCACTACCCTTCTTTGTCTTTTCAGGCCTAAGGCTGTTACTAGCCTCCAGTTATTGACCCATCCATCCCTTGCCCACAGTTTTTAAAAATAGCCCTTCATGCCCGTGGCTGGTGTGGCTCAGTTGGTTGGAGCGTCATCCTATACATCAGAAGGTCGAGAGTTCAATTCCCCATCAGGGCACATGTGCTGATTGTGGGATCAGGGTGCGTACATGAGGCAACCCATCGGTGTTTCTCACATCTATGTTTCTCTCTCTCCAATAAATTAAAAACAGCCCTTCATTATTTAGAGAATACCACCTATTTCCTGTTTGGACCCTAATATACCTGGTCAAAGTAGGTGATCTTTTGCATTCATAGGTTCCATATGTTTCGTCCATGTACTTGAACCTTTCTCTCATACATGTAACCTTACATTTTTATGAGTCAACAGTACTAAAGGGTCAGCTGCGGAATTAAGTAGCAGAGAGTGACTCATACCTGTGTGGTTCCCAAGTGTGGGGTAGTGGCATCAAGGGGACATAAATCTGAGAGACAATAATAGCTTGGACCCCTGTGGCTTAGCTCCCAAAGAACCCAAGATGCTTAACAGCTTTTCAAGCTTTGTGACTGTGGAACCTTCTGTGGTTCAGGTCCCCAAAGCCTTCCACAAGCTGATGAACTCTGCCTATTGGGGCCCTGGTTTCTCCATAACCTCCCAGGACACCTCTGAGAAATCAGCTTAGTAATCCCTCGGGATGACAACTTCATCCTCCTTTTGGCACATTCTAGTTTTTCTAAAGACAAAGTTTGAGCTAATATCCTAATCTTTAAAAAAGACTGTCAGCCGATTCCTTACTTGGGGTCATGTTTATCCCTCTATTGTCAGTGATACTACTTTCTTTGAATTCATCCCCTTAATTTAGTATTCACTACTGTCTGTCAGGATGAAGTATATCATGAGTATTAATGAATTGCATACTTGGTAGTAGTCTATTTGGGGCAAATACCCATTTCCCACAGAGCACTTAATTTAAACCCATACATTTATATGCTGCTTTACAAACCCATTGCCATATGTTCTTTCCGTACTTTACAAAAGAAATTGAGGCTTAGATATGGCAGTTGCATTACCAAGGTCACACACAAAAATACTAACTGGCGGAGCCCAAGGACTGTTGCTCTCACTGCAACATAGTTGCTTTCACTCGCTCTGAGAAGGTTCTGCACCCCCAGAGAAGTCTCCATGCTGTATAGATAATACGTGACCGCCCTTCACAACTAAACTGAAACCAGGACTTCAACCTGTAAATTGCTGCTGCCTGCAGGCACAGGTTCAGTTTCTCTTGTGCTTCTCTTTTGGGTATTTAAACTAAGGATCACTTATACCCCTGTCCTTGTCCCTCAGAGGTGTGTGAAAGGGGTGCATGCAGCCTTAAATTTTTTTTTCTTTGATCTGGCTTTAACACTTTGGGTTTTTTAAAAATATATTTTTATTTATCTCAGAGAGGAAGGGAGAGGGAGAGGGAGGTAGAAACATCAATGACGAGAGAGAATCATTGACCGGCTGCCTCCTGCCCACCCCCAGCGGAGCAGCAGCCGCCCTGACCAGGGACCTCCTGGTCCATAGGCCCACCCACGGGACCCCCGAGCCGTCTGAACACCTTGGTTTGAAGAGGATAATGGAGCCGGGTGCATGGGGGGATTCTCCGCCCCGTCCTGGCTCTCCTCCACCATCCGGGAAGCTAGCGGTGGTTTCTAAGCATCTTGGTTTCAGGAAGGCACCTAACGAGGGGAAACAGACCTAGAGGCCCTCTGCAACCTCCAAGCGGCGCCACGAGCTCCAAGCAGCGCAGACTGGAGGGCAGTGCGGCCCGGCACGCTGAGGTGTGCGCAGTGTCCCGGAGGCATTTCAAAACCTGGAGGGCAAAATCTGTAGTTGGAGGTTGTAAGGATCAAGGGGAAACATTACTCAGCGGGAGGTCACAAGTGAGGAATAGCCTACGCCTGAGTTTGGAGGAAACCACGTCACAGCCACCATGCTTTCTCCTTTAGAAAGTTTTTAGACATTGTCGTGCTTGAGCCTCTCAAACAACCCCATTTTTTTTTACATGAGGAAAACCACTTAGGGCAGAGCTTTGACTTGTCAGGTCACAAAGTAGAAACAATCCCAGGGTTCTCCAAGTTGTTCTTAGCGGTTTCCCGAGAAGGCATGAACGCCTAAAGGCAGCGAACCGGAGGCGTCCTTAGCTGCAGGGCTTGATCCGGCCTCCAGGCGGCGCCAGCGCGGGGGGGCCTAGGGCTCCAACCGGGCGGATAACTCCGGCCACGCGCGGGCGAAAAACACGATTTGTAAATTCGCAAAAGTAGCCACAGCTGGCGCGAGGCCTTCAGTGTCCTCAGCGCGAGGTAGTGGGCGGAGCAGGCGGTCCCGTTCGTCCCTCCCATTGGTCCCCGGGGGTAACTGACAGGTATCTACAGCCAGTTCCAGCCGGAGGAACATCATGACGATCGCGGGCGGCCCCAGGAGTGGCGAGACACCGCGC